GACTAATGAAACACTTCTTCATAACCTCTGACAATTTGACAGGAGTGAATTTAATAATAGCAGTAAATACAGATGGGACTACAGAAATTGAGGCGGTCCTGATACAAAACTCTTCCTGCGTTGCATGGCATCTCAGTTTTCTCATCTGAAATGAATCAGAAAATTAATTACAATAATGATCATAGCGCTTAAGCAACAACAACAACAACAACAAAAATCAAAACAAAATCCCGGCTCTCTGAGAGAATGCCTTTGTTCTTGTCACTTCACAGATGCTGGAGGCAGCAGACAAAAGGCAGCCCCACAGAGAAGGCAGTATGACAGTGAACGTGGCTCCTGACCTTATTGTGGAGTAGGGAGCAGTGGCTTCCCCCAGGGCAGGTTCTTTCAGTCATTTACATTGTGTGGCAACAAAGTGCAGTTGCACAAGCATGGGCCAAACTTGCTTAAAGAGAGAGTAGGCTTAGGACCAAAATGGTTCTCAACCTTCCAGCTTGTCTTCCTCTAAAGTGGAGGCAGAATTTCCTTCACCTTCTGTTCACCTCTAGCACTTCCCATCGCTGAGGAATGTGCCTGGAAGGAGCTTTATAACGCCCACCGCCCACCACTGCTACCCAACTGCTCGTGGAAAATTGTTGGCCCCAGCCTAGGGTACTTACAGAGATGTTCCACTGTGAGCGTCTTCTTCTCGTTTGCAGAGCTGAAAGCACATACGACAGGGGCAATGAGTTTGCCTGCTTTTCTTTTCTCTCTCTCTTTTTTATTGTTAAAACATTCACTTTTCTCTTTAGTATAAGTTTTCCCCATGCCTAACCCTGAGTAGCAATTTCCCACAGGCATTACATTCATTAGGCTTTTTTCCGAAGTAGTTGTTCTTACTGACAACCAATTCTGATACACTGTCGAAACTCATTCCAAAAGAGTTACACTGACAGAATACTTTTCTGGAAGGAAAAGAATTTTTGTCCAAGTTAAATGGTTTTCCCACTACATTACCTCGTCCCTTATTCAGCATTTTGTTATTCACGAATACAACTTCCCACAAATGTGTAGGTTTGTTTTTTTGGTTCCTTTCTTTCAGGGGGTCAGCTTTCCAAATGTCTCACCAGGACTCTTGCAAACTGTCAAGGTCATCCAAAACAAGGGAAGTCTGGGAAAGCGCCAGAGCCAGGAAGAGCCTGGGTGGCTATCACATGGGGACTCTTTTCTCCAGTGCCCACGGTTCCTCTCCTGTTCCGGCCTGAAGACCCTCTCTGGTTTAGTGACACAGTACCCTGCTGAGACCAGGTTGCTGTAGTTCTCCAGCATCATGTCCCTATACAGAGACCTGTGACTAGGGACCGGGAGCTCCTCCTGGGTGAAGCCCACAGTCACATCCTTAAATAAAACTGATCCCTGGAATTTCTGTACAATCTTGTTCATTTTGTGCTGTTATTGGGAAGACATAGACAACTTTGAAGATCCATTCACCACCACCCCCACCCCACCACCCCATGTTGCTGCACTGGCCCTAGAAGAGCAGGTAGACTCGGCAACCCAGGACCACCTCCCACAAGAGGCTGGAAGAAAACTTTGCCTGCTTTTCTAAGACCCGTGGATAAACATTTTTGAACTCATCCAAGTGGCTCAGGGATAGGTATCATGGAAAGACACCCACCTCTGCACTGCCTCAGTTCTCTCTTTTTTTTTTTTCCACATTAATAGTTTTTATTGAACTTGGAGAAGATGTAACTCTTAATCAGGATGCTTTCAGGATTCTTAGATTGCTGAGTATTTTTCCTTTTCTTTTTTATGTTTAGAGATGAAGTCTCAGTACGTTGTCTGGGCTAGTCTCAAACTCCTGGATCCTCCTGCCTCAGCTTCTTAAGTAGCTGGGGCTACAGGCGCGCACCACCACACTGACAGTTTTTTACATATAGGAAAAATTGAGTTGGATTGTAATAGGGAGTGGGGTGAATTTCTTCTTAGGAGACATCATTGCCCATGTATTATGTGTTTCAAAGAGAATGCCCTTGCTAAATGATGAACTCCGCCTAGGGCATATTGGCCGTTCCTTAAAGGCTTTCTGCCTATTTGCCCTCCTTTGGCACTGGATTAAATGACAGGGTCAAATGCACAGTGTTAACATATGCATGCACCTCCTCTGAATCATGCTAGCCAATGAGGTTAACTATGCAACAATTTAAACCAGCCCACTGCTGGCTCAGCTCCACAGGTGAGCAGCAAATGCCATCTTTTTAATGCAGATCTCTGTATCCCCAGACCAGATGTTCCTCTCCTCGTTTATTTATTACACCACAGGCAGCACCGTACAACAATCAAGGGAAATTTAAAAGGAGGAAAAATCAGCCCCAGATCCCCTACCCCTAACACCACAGCTACTTTCATTCAGCCCTTGACTATATCCACTTCTATTCTTGGTAAAGCTCTACTCATACATACAATTGGTATCCCCTTGAGCGAGTTTATTTTAGATCTCACAGTAGAAAGGCCACATTTCACTTTGCCCAAGCATGGTTCCTAATGCAAGTCATTCATATAGCCTGGTTTCTGCCTTTATTTAGCTGAGTTTTTACCAAATAGCTTAGAATGTTTAGATACCTTCATTATTCTTTTTCTTCGTGCAATCACTCCAAAGCACAACGTTAGAAAGACCACAACGCACGCAGCAATGATGGCTTCCATCGGTACGGCTATGGTTTTCTCTGTTGGAAATGCAAACACAGGGAATGAGAATGAACATTTTATGCTTCTCAGATGTCCCAGCCCCGATGCTTTCCGCTGTATCATCCTCTTAATTAAATTCTCCCAGCTACCCCAAAAGGTTGTCACCATTTTATAGACAAGGAACCAGGAGCTTTGAGATGTTTGTTTAAGTGTCAATATCACAGAACTAGTGAATGGCAGAGGCAAGGTTTGAATCCATTCCTTTGTGGAAGAACAATGTATTATAGTAGGAATAACTCCCCCCAAACAAATAGACCATTCGTCCACAATTTTTGCCATACAGAAAGTAGAGCTAGATTGAAGTCAGTGGTTTTCTTGCCTTTTGAAAAGCTCAAAAGATACTGGGAGATATCCCAGAAGGAGAAAGAGAGAGAAAAGCTTTGATAGCAAGAAGAGAAAGGGGAAAAAAGAGAGAGAGAGAGAGAGACAGGAGAGAGCCTTCTGGATTAAGAAGGGGAGAGAGGCTCAGTGCCCATAGCACAGTGGTTACGGTGCCAGCCACATACACTGAAGGTAGCAGGTTCAAACCCAGCCCGGGCCAGCTAAAACAACAACTAAACAACTACAACAAGAAAATAGCTGGCCTTGTGGTGGGTGCCTGTAGTCTCAGCTACTTGGGAGGCTGAGGCAAGAGAATCACTTAAGCCCAGGAGTTGGAGGTTGCTGTGAGCTGAGATGTCACAGCCACTCTACCGAGGGTGATGTGAGACTCTGTCTCAAAAGAAAAAAAAAAAAGAGGGGAGAGAGGTAGGGGAAGAAATGTATTGGCTCCAAGGTATAAAAAGAAAGTGGCAAAATTAATCAAAATTAAAAAATGTTGACTCGGCGCCTATAGCTCAACCGGCTAAGGCGCCAGCCACGTACACCTAAGGTGGCGGGTTCGAATCCCCAGTCCGGACCCGCCAAACAACAATGACAGCTGCAACCAAAAAATAGCCGGGCGTTGTGGCGGGCGCCTGTGGTCCCAGCTACTTGGGAGGCGGAGGCAGGAGACTCGCTTGAGCCCAGGAGTTGGAGGTTGCTGTGAGCTGTGATGCCACGGCACTCTACCCAGGGGGACAGCTTGAGGCTCTGTCTCAAAAAAAATTAAAAAATGTTTAAACATCTATAAAAATGTAGCTCTTTGTCAACTACAACCCATATTGTAAATAATGTTTAAACCTCAAGAACAAAATTAATAACTTAATCATAAAATTCAAAATCTATGCCAGTTAAATAATCCTTTTAAAATTCTTACAGCAAAATGTATGCATAATGTTCTGTGTTTTAATATGTTTAATAGGACACAGGATGGGACTCTGAAAAGGAAAAGTGCTTTTAAATGACTTTGTCTAAGTTCCTGGATTCTGATGCCAGCTAATGAGAGGAAGGGGTTCCAATCATGGTTTAGATAAAATTGTAGAAATTTAAAGTAAACAGAGAGGGTGCTACTTATTATACAATTGAGTTTATGAACTGAGGTGTGGTCAACAAATATTTACTAAGCCACAAATGCGTATTAGGCACTGTGCTCAGCTCTGCAAAAACTAGGACAGACCTGGAGAGCTCCTTTGCCTGCATGAAGCTCATATTCTAGCCGGGGAGACAAACATTAAACAAACAAAAACTCCAGATTGAGATAAGAATTGCAAAGGAAACAGGGTGATGCCAGGGCATATGAGTGGTATAAACCAGAGAGGAAGGGAAAAAGTGACTTTAGATAAATCTAATTTCAAAGGCTACTTTCTATATACCTCAAGATTATGAAATAGGGTTTATCCCTCTCCCCATAATTATAAAATTACAAACCAATTACCTTTAGTCATTTTCTTCCCTATGACTTACCAGCTCGGGATAATTTTGGGGAGTTAGTGGATTAAACGTTTGCCCTCTCTTGCTTATTCCTAAAAATTATTCTCATGAGGGTCATACCAAGCCTCTCGAGAAACTTGGCTCAACAGGCCTCTACTCCTATAGAGGTCATAGCCAGTTCTGGGATGTACCCCCAAAGCCTTCACCGTACTGGGGAGCCCCTCTGCTTGCATGCCAAGGAAATGTATCAAAGGGGAAGTGAATGTGGGATGATCAGGAAAAGTATTCAGTCACCGGTGGGAATATTTTTACTAAGCCAAATAAAATGAAAGCTATCATTCCATCAATAAGCTAAAATAAACTGCCTGACCCTCTGGCTTGCTTTGGATTCCAAGTTGCCGTTGAAAGTGACTTTGGCAAGTGTAACTATCTAACTGCACTACCACCGCCCCCCCCATTTTATGTTGTTGTTTATAACCAGACCTGATATTCCACCTCTCCCATTTTTGTTACAGTAAAATAATTCCAACACATGTTCTAAATCTTGTGCTTGATTAACGACTGTAATGTCATTTCCACCTTTGCATGGCCTCATTTAGGAACAACCCCACCGAGCAGAGGAGTCATGAAAAACTCGGCACTGAGCCTGAACACCAGCAGCGGACAGCTTCTGTTACAAAGACAGCCAACAGCCAGGGGAATAACAAAGCAAGAAGAAATAAGAAAAACAAGTTGGTTTGGAAGAACTCCACCCCAAACAAGTTTCTGCCCACCTGAAAGCCAATTTGCCAAGCTGGCATCCTGATTGCCACACAAGCTGAATGTTCGGTTGGTTTTTTTTTTAACGTGCCATAGAGCAATGATGATGTCTTCTGAACCGAGAGAGATCATAGCATTCCCTCTTCTGTAAGTGTGGTCTTCACAACCAAGTTGAGATGTGAGGCCCATTCCACCATGCTTTTGTGGTCTCGGTGGAGGTGAATAGCCACAGGCTATCCCACTGCTTCTACCCTGTGAGTACTTAGGATATTTATGGGTTTGGTTTTTAAAGCAAGCAGCCCCTGGGTATACTGTCACTGCTCCGACATGCCGGCAATCACGGGCATTCAACCACCAGCAGCTCTTCCTCCCCACCAGCTACTCTGTTCATATCCCAGACCCTCTACTCCGGGGGGAGCATTGATTACATCAATCCAACATTCCTGGCTGGGGTTCAGTTGGCTGCCTGGGGACTGGCAAAAAAGGCAATGAGTGGGTACAGGGAGGCAAATGACAAAGTGAATAATGGTCTGACAAGATACAGGAGCCTCGGCTTGCTGGGCTGACTCTCGAGTACTGGCCCAAGACCAGAAAATGTTGTGTATGAGCAGTTTAGCATCTGCTACACCAGGTAGCTCGCCTTTCTCTTTTTGTTTGAGTAAGAAATCCGAGGAGGGAAAAACACCCAGAGATTCATTTGTTCTCTGTTAGTGCAGAGATGATTAACCTGGGTGGATGAAGCATGAAGCCAAGAGAAAAGCTTGTGTTTGTTCCCTCCCTCTTTCTATAAGCCTCCAGGTTAGAGTACGAGTTAGGAGTGATTTTGGAGATCCATTTTCGTTTTTTTTTTTTCTGAGACAGAGTCACTTTGTCACCCTCAGTAGAGTGCCAGTGGCATCATAGCTCACAGCAACCTCAAACTCTTAAGCAATTCTCTTGCCTCAGCCTCCCGAGGAGCTGGGGCTACAGGCTCCTGCCACAACACCCAGCCATTTTTTGGTTGTAGTTGTCATTGTTGTTTGGCGGGCCCAGCTGGATTCAAACCTTCCAGCTCCGGTGTCTGTGGCTGGCGCCCTAGCCACTGAGCTACAGGCACTGAGCCAGAGATCCATTTTCTTACTAGTCACCAATTTCCTTCTTTGTGGTGCTTTTTTCGAGACAGAGTCTCAAGCTGTCACACCAGGTAGAGTGCCGTGGTGTCATCATAGCTCACAGCATCTCAAACTCTTGGGCTGAAGCAATCCTCTTGCCTCAGTTTTTTATTTTTGGTAGAGATGGGTCTCGCTCTTACTTAAGCTGGTCTTGAACTCGTGAGCTCAAGCAAAACACCCATCTCGGCCTCCCAGAGTACTGGGATTACAGAGGTGAGCCACCTCCCTTGACCCATAGTGGGTTTTTTTTTGGGGGGGGGTTCTTGGGTTTTTTATTTGTTTGTTTTTACTTCTCTTCTGTTGGTCATTGGGCTGTGAACTCAGAAATCCAGTTTCTACATACCTTGTTGCCCAATTGTTTTCTACAGTTGGTTCTAGAAAAAGATCTTTGCTCAAAAAGCAGTGTCCTCTATGGAATGGGCATAACTTCCCTAAAAAGACGGATTCAGTTTCTTAGTGGAGAATTCCTTGGATGGGGATAATTCCTCAAGAAAACCCTAGCTACTAATTATAATTGTCATTATTATTTGTTTCGCCAAAAATATTTACTGAGCATCTAGTCTGAGTTTTGCTCTGCGTTGGTTATTCCTTAAAAAGAGTTACCTTTAACAATCAGGTGAAAGTCCATGGTTTCCACTTTCAGAGATGAATTTGCAATACAGTTGTAGGTTCCATTGTCAGATTTCCTGACTTTGGTAATTGACAGCTGCAGAGACTCACTTGTCTGGTGGATTTGATGATGGTTTTTCTCTAAATTCAGGATGCTGTTATTTTTGTACCACATCATTTGAGCCTGGGGATTGGATTTCACGTTGCAAACCAAATTCACGGAACTGCCTTCCTCAACTGTTTGGAAGTTGTTTCCACTTAGGAGAGGAGGAACTGCAAGACTCAAGCATTTAGATTTAATTAACAGATAAGCGGTAGTTCGAGGTCTTCCTTTAGGCATTTACTCATTGGATATGAATTTTTGAGCACCTATATTGTGCAGATCACTGGGCTAGGAGCTGGGGATGTAACACAAAATAACACATCCAGTTCCAAATCCCACAGAACTTCTAATGTGTTGAAGACACACCAAGAAACAATATATGATTATGAACATAATATGATAATAAATCCATACCAAGTAGACAATTTGTAATACTAGCCAGAAGCACAAGCCTTGGGTTTTTGTTCTCTGAGAGTTAATAAACCAACGCATGCTAGCGTTAGATAAAATAGTACAATATTAAGAAGGCAAGCATTGGCCAAGTGCAGTGGCTCATACCTGGAATTCTAGCACTCTGGGAGGCCAAGGTAGGTGGAGCGCTTAAGCTCAGGAATTCGAGACCAGCCTGAGCAAGAGTAAGACTTTATTTCTACTAAAAACAGAAAAACTAGCCGGGCATTGTGGCAGGAACCCATAGTCTCTGCTACTTGGGAGGCTAAGGCAAGAGGATCACTTGAACCCAAGAATTGGAGGTTACTGTGAACTATGACTCTCAGTAACTCTACTGAGGGTGAAAACATGAGACTCTGTCAAAAAAATAAAAATAAGGCAGGCAGGCATTGAAGATAGTCCTGATTTCATCCTAATTTCATCTCTACCACTTGAAGATAGTTACTTAACTGCTAAATCCTCAGTTTTCTTATCTAAAAATGGGCTAATAATACTCATCTCATAAGTTTCTGTGAAGAAGAAATGAGATAACTCCTGTAAAGAATTTACTACAGTGCTTAGCTATTATTATCACTGTGGTGGCAGTGGTTTTGAGGGTTTTATTTTTGCACTTTAATCGTTGTCCTGGCCAACTATTTACCAATGCTTATTTGCATTTCCTCAGTGATCCTCTAGAAATAATGTCCTCCCAGGAGATGTTCTCGTCACAACAACTCTGGCATCTATGGACGGTGAGAGAGTCCCTCTCATTCCTCCATGTGAGCAACTCCTTACTCCCTCCACAACAAGAGCAGTTGTAGACCCACAGATAGTCAAACACATTTATCTCCAGGCCCTTGCACTTTCCAGCAAAGATGCAGGAGAGTGACAAAATGGTGGGAAAAGTGGGAACCAGGGAAAAAGTAGAGGTGGAGAAGCAGGAAAAAGGAGCTTGTATAATTTAAACACCGAATAATTAGACCCAGAGTAGGGTATGCTATTAATAACTCTCTCCAAAGAGTTGCTCTGGAAGGAGCTTGAATTCTGTATCATTTCCAAGGAGGATATTATATGGTATTCAGAGGTGTAGGAAGCTGCGGGAATAGAGAACATGATTGCCAAATACAACAATTCCATTTGTGGCCAGATCCTATTAATTATTTCCTTCTTATTTAACGATTTAAAATTAACTTAAGTGTATCAGCTACATATGAATACCCACTCTTTAAAAATTAGTACATTTCAAATTAAGTGAAAGTCCTCTTGGTGTCCAGGCTGGTCACTTTCTAACTCCCCTGAGATACCCACTGCTATGAGTTTGGTGTAAATCCTTAACAATTATGGAAAAATTATTCAGAATCTAAACATCACTGAAATCTGTAACACAGGCTTAGATACGTAAATATCATGGTGCTCAACCTTAATAAAGTGCAGATGTATTGGACAAAAAAAAAAAAGAGAGTTTTCTATATATGTAGTGTTCCCATAGGGAATATATTGTACTATTTTAGGAGCATGGGAAGGATTTACATAAAAGATTTCATTTCTCTAATGACCTCCATGGTTTTGAGATATGTCCACATTGAGATCTAGTTCATTGCTTGCAGATTGCTATAGTATAATATATGATTTTTTAATAGTGAGTACTTTGATGGACATTAAGTTGTTTTCGTTAGAGTGTTAATGCTACTATAAACACTCTTGTCTTATCTCTTTATGCACATGTGCATGTATTTCTCCAAGGTTAATATCTGGAAGGAGAAATTCTCAGTCCTAATATAATCACGTTTTAAATTTTGATAGATATTCCAAAAGAGTAGGTCTCAATTTCTACTTTTAGCAACAACATATGAGCAAAACTATTTCTCCTCATTCCCCCTTAAACAGTGTATTATCAAGCTTCCATTTAGCTCTTGACCTGCTATTTATAACAATAACAATACTTCCTTTGGATTGTACATGACATCCTTGTCCCGTTTTGTTTTGTTTTGTTTTGCAGTTTTTGGCCAGAGCTGGGTTTGAACCCGCCATCTCCGGCATATGGGGCTGGCACCCTACTCCTTTGAGTCACAGGTGCCACCCCTTTGTCCTATTATTTTGAGCTCATTTTGATTTATTAGTTAATGAGCTTGTGTCAGCTATTGTCACTATGAATCACTGACCAACTGGCCATATATAGTGTGTAAATATATATATATATATTTTTTTTTATGAGAGAGTCTCACTCTGTGCCCTAGGTAGAGTGTTGTGGCATCATAGCTCACAGCAACCTTAAACTCTTGGGCTTAAGTGATCCTCCTGCCTCAGCTTCCTGAGTAGCTGGGAATACAAGTGCCTACAATGACACCTAGCTAGTTTTTCGATTTTTAGTAGAGATGGAGTCTCGCTCTCAATCTGATCTCAAACTCCTGAGCTCAAGGGATCTGCCCATTTCTGCCTCCCAGAGTGCCTGTTTTACAGGCATGAGCCACTGCACCCAGCCTCGTGTGTGTATATATACATACATATGCATAATGGTGTGTATGTACATATACGTATGTGTGTATATACACATATGCTTAGCAACGATCATATTTAGGAGGTTGTTATAAAGATGATTTTAAAAGTAGATTGGGGCTGGAAAATGGAAAACAATTTCTTTAAGTCACCAAATCACGTTGTCAGCATTTCTCCTGGGTCTCCCTTAGGAAGGCTTCATGACTTTGGGAGGGTTGCTTGAGACCAGGGATTTAAAACCAAAAAGGTGAAGCTCTTCAATGGTTGGGTTTCAGGTATTGGTAACCCATTGGTGGAACTATATATGGATAGAGGACTGTTAAATGACACTATGGGGGAGGTCATGACGGTTATTTGGATGGCAAGCTGGTTCTGCATGAGGGAGGCGGGAATGGTGAGGGATGTGGTATAGGATAATACTGTGGTGTGACTGGTAGAAACAGCTCTTTATTTGGAACCTAGTAATAAAAATCAAAATCATTTGACGTCAAAGAGCTCAGCCAACTTTTCTGTGAAAAATTGATGCCATTGCTCCTGAGATACAAGGGTGAAGAAACTGATGAGGGACCCGGCTCTGGAAAATGGCGGCATCCCATAGCTTGAGTTTCTAGAGTGAATCATTTGCATGTTCCTAGACAAAGAAACTTTTTTTTATATATTTTAAACAAATTAGTAAAAACTGATTATCAGCAAGCTACCTCTTGGGTACTCTGATAGAATCCTACACTACATATTAGTGAGAGAAAGACAAATAACTCAACAGAGAAATGGATAAAAGACACAAGCAGGCATTTCACAGGAAAATAAAAATCACATGAATATCTTTTACTTATGAAAAGGTGAATACCTTCATTCTTTTCTTTTGAGACAGAATCTTACTCTATCCCCCTAGGTAGAGTGCCATGGCATCATCATAGCTCGCAGTAACCTCAAACTCTTGGGCTCAAGCGATCCTCCTGCCTCAGCCTCCTGAGTAGCTGGGACGACAGGCACCTGCCACAACACCAGCTATTTTTAGAGACAGGGTCTCACACTTGCTCAGGCTGGTCTTGAATTCCTGAGTTCAAGGGATCCGCCTGTGTTGGTCTCCCAGGATGGTAGGATTACAGGTGTGAGGCACCTCACCTGGCCCAATACCCTCATTCTTAATTTAAAAAATGAAAATAAAATTTCAAACGAGGCTAACAAATTCTTAAGAGTTTAAGGGTACTTAGTGCTTATAGGTAAGTAAGTACTCTCATGCTTTGTTATGGGAGCATAAATCTGCCAATTTGGCAATATCAAAACCTAGTTTTTAACTAGGTTTTTAAGGTAGTGCAGACATGACAGATTGACGAGCAGTTTCTTTTCCCTTTACTCACATATAACATTCAGCATCACTGAAATGGACACTGTCTTATCACTCTGCAGCCTGCAGGTGAAGTTAACTCTGTGGTCATCTTCGCTGATGGAAGAGACACAGATGGAACTGGAGTTGATTTTGTTTCCAGATTTCAAATCCACTCTCCCCTCTTCTCGATACCAGAGAAGTTCTTCTTCCCTGGTATGGTTTTGAACAGCACAATTCAGAGATTCTTGAAAGCCACGCCGAGTGTCCAGGATATAGTTCTCGGTTTTACCGTTCACAGTTAAAATAGAACCTGGGGGTATAGGAAGAAACTATTAAGGTATGCACGGCAAAAAACCTAGATGTCCATCAACAGGGGATTGGGTAAATAAGTTACGTTTTATTAGTGAAACATATGTACTCTCAACAGTTAAAAATAGTCATGTTGATCTATATACTTTAATACAGAAAAAGATCCATAACTTATTATTAACTAAAAAAAAAAAAAAAATTAAGATGGTGGTCACCGGCTCAGCGCCTGTGGCTCAAGCAGCTAAGGCGCCAGCCACATACACCTAAGGTGGCGGGTTCGAATCCAGCCCGGGCCCACCAAACAACAATGATGGCTGCAACTAAAAAATGGCCAGGCGTTGTGGTGGGCGCCTGTAGTCCCAGCTACTTGGGAGGCTGAGGCAGGAGACTCGCTTGAGCCCAGGAGTTGGAGGTTGCTGTGAGCTGTGATGCTACAGCACTCTACCCAGGGGGACAGCTTGAGGCTCTGTCTCAAAAAAAAAAAAGATGGTGGTCACCAAATTTTGCTGCAATTGGAATTACCTGGGGGTCTTTACAAAAGTATTGATACCTGGCTCTCATCCCCAGACATCTGATTAATTGACGTGAGTGCAATCTTGGATTTTTTTAAAAGGCCCCAGGTGATTCTAATGTGCAGTGAAGTTTGAGAACCACTGGGTTAGAAACCAGTATGTACAGAAGGATTATATATATATTACATATACACACACATATACATGTATATGTGTGTGTGTGTGTGTGTGTGTGTGTGTATTCATGGAGGAAAGATTTAGAAAAACTTCTCTACCTATTGAATTTACATACACATACCAGATCTGATTTTCTTACTTCATGGAGTTAGAAGTAGAAAGCACGGGAGTAGAAATGGAGAAATGAAAGGACTATAGCAAAATAAAAAAAAATATTTAAGACACGAATATAGCAGGTGGAAATGCAGAATATAAATCATCTCTAACAACTACTACAAATGCATCAAAATTGAATATGTACATGAGGAAAATGACTCACAGACACTTTCTGGATTAGGTGATAGGATTATGGACAAACTCAGTCTTGTCTTTCTGATATCTCAATATTATTTTAGCGGCATTCCAAAAACAAAAAGATGTCTAAATAGCTAGGCTTTGGTAGATAGATGAGATTTTGTGGAGTAGGTGATCAGGGTATATAGGAGTTCTCTTTTTCGGCTCTATTTTTAGAAATACATTTATTGCATAGTAATATACCTAAATTTTAATTTTCCTTATTCAGAAGTAAATAACAAAAACTAAAAAAGACCTTTAAATGCCTCAAATCAGCATCCTAGTTGACATTTCTTAATATGTTAACTTTTCAGTAATACAGTAACTTTTCAGCTACTCAGGAGGCAGAGGCAAGAGGATCCCTTGTGCCCAAGAGTTTGAGGTTGCTGTGAGCTGTGATGCCACGACACTCTACTCTGGGTGACAGGGTAGAGACACTCTGTCTCAAAAAAAATTAATTAATTAAAAATATATATTAACTTTTTTGTAAAGTATAAGCTACTGATAAAGATAATGGGATTGATGCTTAGTATTTTTTAAAAATCTGGAAGAATATATGTCAAGACGTTGAGTGGTTATCTCTGGATGATGGGCTTTGGGGAGATTTTTACTTTTCTTTCTCCTTTTATACATTGTCTAATTTATCTCACAATGACTATGTATAGTATTTAAAGCCAGGGAAAGTGGGGAAACTATTTACAGGTAGGGGTAGGGAGCAAACACAGAAAAGATTTTCAAGCGAGTCATATGCTCAAACCAACAGAAGATCATCTGGGGTAAGATTAGTAACGAAATGCATTAAAATGTAGGAAAATTCTGGCTATGGCTCTGGAGAGAATAGAATACTTCACCTTGTCTTGTAATATTAGAACCCTAAAAACAGTATTTTTCCATTTGGTTTTTTATTATGTGACTCCTATACTGTGAGCCATACCAACTGCATAGACATTCCAATATGGAATTTAAGGATATACCCAATGCCCACTGAATTTTTAATTTTTATGTATTTATTTATTTATTTTTGAGACAGAGTCTCAATTTGTTACCCCCGGTAGAGTGCTGTGGCGTCACAGCTCGCAGCAACCTCAGACTCTTGGGCTCAAGCTATTCTCTTGCCTCAGCCTCCCAAGTAGCTGAGACTACAGGCGCCTGCCACAACACCTGGATATTTTTAGAGACTGGGTCTCACTCTAGCTCAGGCGATCTGCCCGCTTTGGCCTCCCAGAGTGCTGGGATTGTAGGCATGAATCACCGTGCCCAGCCTACCACTGATTTTTTCTAAATGTGAAATTTCTCTTTATCTATGAAAAGAGGCCAAAAAGAATATTAACTTACCTGTCATCTCATTCGGCAGAAAAACAATTACTGAAAGAAGAAATCTATATATTTGCATTACACTGCTGCTCTTCCATGCCATCTTTAAAAAATTCACGTCGAAACTACCGGGAGAAGAAGCATGCAGTTGGTATTGTACTTTGGTTTACAATGATTTTATGAACCTTCCTTCTGTCTATTTAGCATTTAAAATAAGGTCCCAGATGAATCATCCCGGCTAAAACAGCAATACTTGTAGTTTTTAATTAAACAACCCTGTTCTGACTCAGTCCAAAGTACTTTTAGCATTAGGGCATTTTTTTTTTTTTCACGCAACGAAAAGAAAACCACAAGGTAATAGGCAAAACTATAGAAGGCAGCTTTAAGTCCCTGGTCTTCCCTAGAGAAATTGATAGAATATCATTTTAACAGAAAAAGAGCTTGCTTCATTCTCAAACAGTCCCTCAAACAGAAGTTCAGTGTCAAAAGCTTCTATTGGGTCTTTTTAAAAATAAATTTTGGTAGTGATAAGTCTTGCTCTGTAGCCCTGGCTAGAGTGCAGTGGCATCATCATAGCTCACTGCAACCTCAAGCTCCTGGGCTCAAGTGATCCTATTGCTTCAGCCTCCCAAGTAGCTAGGACTATAGGCATTCACCACTATACCCAGCTAATCTTTCTCTTCCTTTCTTTCCTTCCCTTCCTTTCCTTCCTTCCTTCCCTCCCTCTTTTCTTCCCTTTCCTCTTTCTTTCTTCCCTCCCTCCCCTCTCTCTCTCTCTTTCTTTCTGTCTTCCCTTTCTCTTTCCTTCCCTCCCTCCCTTCCTTCCTTTTTTGTTGAGACATGGTCTTTCTGTGTTGCCCAGGCTGGTCCTTAACTCCTGGTCTCAAGTGATCCTCACGTCTCAGCCTCCTTAAGTGCTCAGATTACATGTGTGAGCCTTTTGGGTCACACCTGGCCTTTTGGGTCATTTTTGCAAAGTTATTTTCTGATCATAGAGAGTCTCTGAGACTACTCTGAATCGCATATATTCAGATGGTGTGTACTTACCAAAAACTCAATCAACACGTGACCTCTAGTTTTAAACCGAGTTGACCTCTGCTTTCCTCACCCCTCTGCTACTCTCTCCCTCCTAATACTCCTTGACCCAGCATGGACTAAAAATAATATATAAATAATAAACATTATTATTTGGCAGAAATACATTATGCTGCAAGCCTGCAGCAATCTTTTAATTAACCTTATGCTTCTATCATCCCTCTCCCTAGGATAATCTCCAGTTCCTTCTGGGAAAAACATATACTCAGGACTTCCTTTCAAGAGTAGTGTTATGATCAGAGTAGAAACATAGGAAATGCTTTCGCTGCAACTGGCACTGTGCTTAACATGTTAGAAACATTATGTCTGGGCGGCGCCTGTGGCTCAGTGGGTGGGGTGCCGGCCCCATATACCCAGGATGGTGGGTTCAAACCAGGTCCCAGCCAAACTGCAACAAAGAAATAGCTGGACGTTGTGGTGGGCGCCTGTAGTCCCAGCTACTCCGAGGCTAAGTCAAGAGAATCACCTAAGCCCAGGAGTTGGAGGTTGCTGTGAGCTGTGTAATGCCACGGCACTCTACTGAGGGTGATAAAGTGAGGCTCTGTCTCAAAAAAAAAGAAACGTTATGTCAATCACAAGCCCCACAGCAACCCTATTGAGGTAGTTTTGTAGGTTTAGAGAGATTACATGATTTGCCCAGGATCTCATAGACAGTCAATGTCAGGGTCAGAATTCAAATCCATGATCCCAAGACCAGGCTTGCGACCACCCTCCTGCCTGGATTAATAGTCTCTTCCTTTAAGAAGCTACTGTTAATCCCTTTCAGTCCCTGGCCACTCTATAGAATTTAGCCACTTGGAGTTCTGTCCCCTTCACACCAGTCATTATTAGCTTTCGAGAGCTGCAACACACCTAGGCCTTCTTTGGGCACCTCTGGGGTTATCCCAGACCTGTCCTGACAGGAGCAAGTTTCATTCCTGTCAGGCTCACCCTTTCTGGCAGGCATCCCTGCAGCAATCTTTTAATAACATGAAATTAATACTAATAATGATTCTTTTGTAATTTTAAGATTTTGCCAAAATGATTTCTATCACAGTGTTGTAACAGTGATGACTGCAGAATGGCACGGTTAATAGAGTTTTCTCGGCTGGGCACAGTGGCTCACCTATAATCCTAGCACTCTGGGAGGCCCAGGCATGAGGATAGCTAAAACTCAGGGGTTCGAGGCCAACCTGAGCAAGAGGAAGACCCTGTCTCTACTAAAAAGAAAAATTAGCTGGGCATTGTGATAGGTGCCTGTAGTCCCAGCTACTCAGGACTAGCCTAGGTAACAGAGTAAGACTGTCTAAAAAAAATATATAGAGTTTTCTCAAATGTTTTCCATTATAGGTGTTTGATAAAACCTGGAAGTGTGGACTTCTTGGCAGACCTCACTTCACCCTATAAAGGGGGAGCATTGATGTCTCCTCTTTCCTTCCACTCCACCAAGGGAGCAACTTTTCAAAATGAATTTCCCCCTTTGAGTTGTTAATTTTTCTATCTCTACTTTCTACATAAAACAAATCTTATCACTTACCTGCTGAGCTCTGAAAAACTGACTTCCTTGGCCCACTGTTCCTCTGACTGGAAACTCTGGATCCTTTCCCTGTTACGATTCAAGTTTATAATAACTTGAATTCGAACACTTTACGACAGTAGGGTCATGTAAATAAGATAAATTGGGATCAAAGTCTGTTTCTTTTTATGGATGCTTAGAGAAGATAGTAATTGGAAAAGACATCTTCTTTTTTTTTTAAGACATCGTCTTCTTTTTTTTTAAGAGACAGAGTCTCACTTTATTACCCTCATAGAGTGCAGTGACGTCACAGCTCACAGCAACCTCCAGCTCTTGGGCTTAGGTGATTCTCTTACCTCAGCTTCCTGAGTAGCTGAGACTACAGGCGCCTGCCACAATGCCCGGCTTATTTTTTTTTCTTTGAGACAGGGCCTCAAGCTGTCCCCCTAGATAGAGTGCTGTGGCATCACAGCTCACAGCAACCTCCAACTCCTGGGCTCAAGCGAGTCTCCTGCCTCTGCCTCCCAAGTAGCTGGGACCACAGGTACCCACCACAATGCCCGGTTATTTTTTGGTTGCAGCCGTCATTGTTGTTTGGCGGGCCTGAGTTGGATTCGAACCCACCACCTAGGTGTATGTGGCTGGCGCCTTAGCTGCTTGAGCCACAGGCGTTGAGCCAGCCCAGGTATTTTTTATTGCAGTTTGGCTGGGGCCTGTTTGAATCTGCCACCCTCAGTATATGGGGCCGGTGCCCTACCCACTGAGCCACAGGCACCGTCCAAGACATCTTCTAAAGATCTAAGTTTAGAGAAGTATTGTTCCCATAAAGTCTGAACTTGTGCAAAAACTTGTAGCAAATCTCACTGAACACTGCCATACTCTGTAAGATGACTCTGTTTTGATAATCTACTAGCCCAGGGATTGTGATAGGATAAATCCTGGAAAGGTTTTGACTTTCACAGCCGTCAAAACATTGAAATATTCCACACAACTTAAAAAACACTAGAAACACCTTACTTCACTAGTAATGCAAGCCCAGTGTGTAAACTGTACCAAGCCAGGCATGGGACAGTTTTATCCCCTTGAGGCTTTCACTTGATTAGAGAGTCCTTACATTACACTGTTTATAGTATTCCTTGTTTTTTTGTTGAGACAGAGTCTCAAGCTGTTGCATGGGTAGAGTACTGTGGCGTCACAGCTCACAGTAACCTCAAACTCTTGGGTATAACTGATTCTCTTGCCTCAGTCTCCCAAGTAGCTGGGTCTACAAGTGCCCACCACAATGCCCTGGCTATTTTTTTGTTGTTACAGTTGTCACTGTTGCTTAGCTGACTGGGGCCAGACTGGAACCTGCCAGCCTGGGTGTAGGAGGCCGGTGCCCTACCCATTGAGCTACAGGCACCGCCTGTTTATAGGATTCTTTTTTTTTTTTTTGAGACAGAGCCTCAAGCTGTCCCCCTAGATAGAGTGCCATGGCTTCACTGCTCACAGCAACCTCCAACTCCCGGGCTCAAGCAAGGCTCCTGCCTCGGCCTCCCAAGTAGCTGGGACCACAGGCGCCCGCCACAACACCCGGCCATTTTTTGGTTGCAGCCATTATTGTTGTTTGGCGGGTCCGGGCTGGGGATTCGAACCCGCCACCCTAGGTGTATGTGGCTGGCGCCCTAGCCGCTTGAGCCACAGGCACCGAGCCTGTTTATAGGATTCTTAATCATATAGGAACTATTGTTCCTATTTATACAAAAATACAATAGAGTAATATTTATGGTTATGCACCCACTGGTTAAGCACACCAGAGATCTGCCCCTTACTAACTGTGTGACTTTGAAAGTCATTTAACCGGTTTGGTGCCTGTGGCTCAACCGGCTAGGGCGCCAGCCACGTACACCTGAGGTGGCGGGTTCGAATCCCCAGCCCGGACCCGCCAAACAACAATGACGGCTGCAACCATTTTGGCCGGGCGTTGTGGCGGGCACCTGTGGTCCCAGCTACTTAGGAGGCAGAGGCGGGAGACTCGCTTGAGCCTAGGAGTTGGAGGTTGCTGTGAGCTGTGATGCCACGGCACTCTACCCAGGGGGATAGCTTGAGGCTCTGTCTCAAAAAAAAGAAAAAAAAGAAAGTCATTTAACCTCTGTGAGCCTCAGGTTCTTCATCAATACAATAGAGATAACGATCGTGTGTAGTACCCTCCCTATAGCCTCACTGTGAAGATTAATTGGAATGAAGTATATAAACCTCTTAGTAAGCAGTAGCTTTTATTACTACTATGAATACAGGCTGGGCGGGGCATCCTCAATAAACAGAACCTCACTCTGGTGTTGCTAAGGCAAGAATCGTAGCTGAGAGCAGCTCCTGCTGGCTGTACTACAAGCACCAGCTAAGCAGGGGGTTGGGTTTTTTTTTAAAACATTTCCTAGTATTATAGGGGTACAAATATTATTTTGGTTACATGGATCACATTTACAATGCTTGAGTCATGGTTATAAGTGTGCCTGTTACCCAGATAGTGTTCACCCATCCAA